CCAATTCTGTTCTTAATATATGTCAACGACTGCCTGGGCTGTGTGAACTGCGAGCGTGTAATGCTTGCCGATGATCTCAAATTGTGGAAATTAATATAGAAGCCGGAAGACTCTCTACAGTTACAAGACAATCTGAATCGCTTGCGACAATGGTGTGATGAGTGGTGCCTTAGCCTCAATCGTAACAAATGCCAACTTATCCGATTACTATGGAGCAACAGGAGGCCGTCGAGATTTGAATCTCACTATTTTATAGTAGGTTACCAACTCGAATCAGTCAACGAGTTAAAAGACCTCGGTGTGTGGATGACGTCAACTCTCAAACCATCGTCTCACTGCGCCAAGGTATCATGGAAAACTAAGGGTATCCTAGGCGCTATTAGAAGATCCTTCCTGAATTTTGACGAAGAACTTTTCGGCCGAGTATTTGGATCACTCGTTCGACCAATGTTAGAATACTGTGTTCAGGCATGGTGTACCTGGACGAAAAAAGATTAAACCCTACTGGAGAACGTACAACGAAGAGCGAGCAAGGTAGTCGGCGGTTTAAGTAGCTTACCTTATGAGATACGGTTGGAAAAGCTAAAAATATTTCCTCTCTTTTAGACAATACAGAGGGGATATGAACATGGCCGTCAGGATCATGCTAGGGCTAGATTGTGCTCTTCAGTTTGACGATTTCTTCGGACTGGCGTGGACGACAAATCTTCGAGGACACCAATGAAAATTGAAGACGAAATACGCCAAACTCGAATTGCGGGTCAAATTCTTCTCTCACCGGATGGAACAAATTAGCGAACTCCGTTGTCTTAGCGGAAAACTTTGGGACCTTCAAAAGAAGACTAGATAAATTTATGCTTGGCGGTCCAACATTTACACGATATCAATGACTGGCATAACTGCTATGTAAATATCTGCATGTTTTTTTCAAACGTCTATCTGTAAATAGGGTTTTCCAAGGCTCTGCCTCTATCCCTCATATATGCTGAATTATACTGAATTTTGGAACTCCTGAATGTAAGTGCAACGGCAGGTTGGGTTCACAATTATTCGAGAGTTTAGAAAGTTTTTTTAAGACCGCGGGATACTCTTTCCTCGAGTATAAAATTTGAAGAAGACGTCATTTGCCATCAAATGAGTAGAAGAAAGAATATTTCTGCGCATGTCTTCTATAAAATGTATTTAAATTGATAAGGACACCAAAAATCAATTTGAAGAGTCCATGATACTTATGCTGTCGCTTTTTACGAGACAAAGCTTATGCCAGCAATCGATAAAAAGCTCATTTGAAAGCCAACACCCTGACACGACTTAACATTATGTTGCCCTACGATGACTAATATTACAACCCTACTTTAGTGGTATTTTGGAAAGGCACTTCGGAAGCTAAATCAACATTTCGTGAGACTGCACATGTACTGCCCACAAAATTACAGGTCATATCAAGTTGTGCGTTAGTAAACAACTCTTTTTTTCGTGAGTCGCCTCCTGTATTCCCACCACTGCTGGATGAAAGCCTCTACTGAAACATGTCACGTTTTAAAAGTGCAGAGCTAACACGTTCACAGGACGTGTTCCCCAAAAATGGCATAAAAACCCGTCCAATGTCGATTCTGCCCGGTATTTACAGAAGGCTTAGTTTCTCATAAGACGGTAAAGGAGATATCACACAGATACCTCCGTGTGCAATAGCCCTAAGGTGGGAATAGCTGAAAACACGCATTAACACCTTAAGGCCGCAAAGACGTAAATAATGGGTGTCACCTAGATGTGAGGTTTTAATAGGCACGTGTATGGCGCGCGTCAAAAGGCTTTTGCAAAGAATACGGCCGAACGACCGGCAAAACCCGCCACACCGTCTGCCGAAAAGAACACTGTTCCTTAAAGTCCCTTTCCAAGGGGACGCGGCGAGTGAACTCCTAAGGAGACGCCTTGATCAAGCTGTTTCGCGAACCTTCCCGGCGACAAGGGTTCAAGTATCCTTCCCTACTAACCCTATTTTACTCGGAGAAGGTAAGGATAAGTTGCCACTGCAGACCGCCTCAATGTGCATCTATTCCTTCCCTTGCTCCTGTGGAGAAGGTTATATTGGTCGCACGAGTCGGCGCTTATCCAACAGAATACGAGAACACCTCCCGACATGGGTGGGAAAAGGCGAAACTAGGAGCACAAGCAGCGCCATGATCGCGCAGGTTGTCGATTACGGACATCACGTAGACCCCAATGAAGCGTTTCGTGTGATCTATAAGGTCCCATCGAGCTACCCTAAAGCACCGGGACAGCGGCTGTTAGCAACAGTAGAGGCGGCCGCCATCAGGTTGCGAAAACCAATTTTGTGCGCACAGAAGAACCACGTTCAGGCTCCGAACCTACAGTGGTCGAAGGTCGACTAACGCTGCAGCTCTCCCGCGCCCTTCCGCTCTCACCCCGCCCCCGACACTGACTGCCATAGTCCGCCCCCTCCCCCAAATTTCCACACCCAGCCTGTGTTTAAGGGCGAACTTTAATCGATTTATCTCATCACTGACGTGTTTTTACTTCTACCCCCTCCCATATAATTGTACTGACCCGACGAGAATTTATCGAAAGCTACTTATGCTCGCCACCTCGTCTTCTGCTTACTGCTATGAGAATTTTCGCAACTCTAAAAGGCTTTTCGTTTAGTTCGGCACTGGGTCCGGTGGCAGTTGCGACAGACTTGACGCAAACTTGCCATCGGTATATGATGAGATGGGCCCCAAGGTTTGTGAGTGTCAGCCATGTCATCATCAGCAAACCATGGCTTTCGCGGCCCGTTGTGCGCTGACAGTCCTCCGGTACCGGGTTCTCTGACGGTAGATACGTTTCCGCTCCCGCCGGGTCATGTGCATGGCTGCCCAGTCATCCACCTCTTTTCCCTTGTTGGTCAAAATCCTGGCCAAGTTTGCTGTGGATCAACGGGTGTGGAGTGGGGCGCCAAGGTGCGGGTTCGGCCGCGCTCTTCCCACCTCCGGTCTTGACACCGAGCCCAAGCGGGGAGAATGAGCGAGTGCGGTAGATACTGTGCAAGTCTGCATTAACTATAAACTAAATCACGCGCATGTCGCCGCGCCTGCTTCGCCTTGTTGTGGAGCACACGGTGCACACCGTCGGGCACCACTGTCGAACTATCATTCAGTGAGGCCGTTGCCGAGGGAACAGTTACCCGAGGCGATTAGTTAACCGTAAATTACCTGACATGCAAGGTCGCCCTCCTTCTGGCTAAAATGGCCTCATCCAGATGTGTCCCTCGGCAGCGAGGTTCAAGACGCACGGGCGGGGTGGACAGTACGCGCAAACGGATATACAGTCCTTGGGTTCGCGCCCACCCTCCCCCCCGTAGTCCGCAACGCCGAGGATGCGAACGAGTCCACCCTACCGACCGACCTTCCCGCCGAGTGGTGGTGTCCTCCATCATTTGTAAGGGAATAACTAACAGAGGCGAAGAGACGAGTCCCAGGAAGCAGTATTGAAGGAGGAGACACGATCGCTGGACAGACTACCTTCAAAACGCCAAAGGTTTACTGGAGGATCGACAGTCCCATGTTCAGCGAACCCTGTAAAAGCGCTGACACGCGAGATTAATGCTACACTGTTGGCCTTGGAGAACTCAGGTGCAATAACACCGACCGACAGACGCATGGCGAGACCCTATGACACGGCTTTGACCCGATTCTATGGCCTCCCTAAGGTGCAAAAGGACGGCTCTCCTCTCCGACCCATCGTGTCGCTCAAAGGTACTCCGACGTACGAATTGGCTAATTGGCTGTTCCGGCGTCTCAAGTTCCTGACCGCTGAGTCAGACAGCACGGTCTCTTCGTCAACACAATTCCTGGAGAAACTCAAAGGGGTAGGCCTCCATACCGCATAACTACGAAATTAGAAAAAATGACGCCAGCTCTCAAGTTGCGGCTCATTCTACGAGATCTGTCCACATTCAAATTTGAAGAGGACGAAATTCTCGCTAGAGGTGACAACCGCTTGAGCCGGAGCTGCTTGAGTCATGGTTCACTGGCTGCCAGCATATTAACAACTGCAACGACCTCCCCTTTCCGTGCTCGGTGCTGAGATTTCGCCTAGGCGGAGTAATTGGTCACGCGGGGAGCGCACACCCTTCCCAACGCTAGGGTCGGTGGGTCAAGCAATCATCACACTAACATCCAAAACCCTGGAGAAATTGGAGTAAAAAGCGGCGCGAATGTCGGCCATCAAACAATCATCACACCAAGCGCAACGATCCCTGATGAAGGGGGGAGTCGTGAACATTCATAGGTATGTGATAACATGGTGACTGCATCCCCTTGTGCATGAACCACCCGTATCTGCTTTTGTCTCGGATGATGGATTCGAGCAGGAATCCGAAACGTCGGGCTAATAAAGGCCTTGTCCCAGTGACTAACTGTTGCAGCCTGCAGTAGGATGCGCAAAGTTTCAGCGCAAAACGCAAGTGGCCTTCTCTGCCTGAAAGCACATTTGGGGACTCCGGCGAGCGGGTCGACTGGGGTCGTAAGCTAGGGGCGGTTCACGTCTGTTGACATTCAGTGATAGAAACTTGGTCGAAAAAAACAGTCGAAGGAACCGCCCCCTCCCTGCACAACCTGTATCGCTTTCTGGCAACTAGCCAGCAAGGCGAGGACCTCACGATACAAGCACGCCAACTTTGTGGGCCAACCAATAAGAGAATTTAAAAACAGGCAATGCAGTCAAAATAACAATGTTGACTGCACAGCACGAAATTCTTTTTTTAAAAAAACCTGAAAAACCTTGGGTCTCAACTTGATCTGCACACTGACGGAGGGGGGGGGGAATTCATACATACTTTCAAAAGTGGGATTCGACGGACTTTTGTATGTACACAGTGGGCGAAAACCGTAATGACTACGGCAGGAGGACGGTGTGGGGTCGGGGAACGGTGTAAGAGGAGGATGAGCAGGGGTAGGAGCGAAGAGGGTGGAAAAGGAGAGAAGGAGGGGAGGAACACCTCAGTCCCACAACTTGATGGAACCGTCCCAGCCAGCGCTGACCACCTTGGAGGTCTCATGGGGCAGCCAGGCTAGATCAATGCACACACTGTCGTGGGCCTTCCACTTGGTCAGGAGACGGGTAGTTTTCCACTCCCAGAGGTAGATGAAACCGTCGCCGTCACCAGAGACAACATAGCGTAGGTCCGGCGACATGTCTGTCTGGCAGGCGTAGCCGGAGACGGTATGACCGCGGAAAAGCTTCTTGCGCATCCTCTTGAAGCCCGCGAAGACGTTGAAGATGACAATCTGATTATCCAGGGACTGGCAAAGCAGATATTTGCCTGCAGGACAAATGATAAAGAGGGATAAGCGCACACGACATGGCATGCGAATGTTGTAACGCGAAATATTGTGGTTCACCGAACAAACGAGACGTGATGACCGAAATCTGAATGTTTAGTTCAAAGAGTGCTTCAGACGTTGTAGATTGTACTGATCAGCTTAATGTTTCGCAAAAACTTTTTTACGTAGAATATAATTTTAAGTCTTTATCAACGAAAATGTGTAAATTTTGGACGGAGACCAGGCAATTCGCTGCATAAATGATTATTGTAGACCGCATCTGCGTGTTTACGGTCGTTCTTATAGAAGACATCAATATGCATAAAATGGTTTACAAAACAGCACTGCCGATTTTTAACTTTAATTCCCATCTCGCGTAAATAAGGCGAGGTCAGATGTGAATAACTTCGTTATTTACGGAAAGACAAAGTTCCAATTCATCTTCAAAAACTTTGATCTGCAAATCTATGCAATTCAGTGCCCCAAAAAGCAGTAATAACACCCCAATACAGTATACTGTTTTAACCCACTCACAATTTCTAAACGAGTATTGTAGAAGTAATCACGAAGCGACAGATCATGTCTCAGCTGATTAGTAAGATGCTTTCTGTGTGGTTTGCTTTCAGAAACGGGAGGGGTAACGTGCCGGCCGGTTGTGAAACAGCTAAATATAGTAGTGCATAAATAATCATAAAACTAAGACAGTTCCGACATAAGGATAGAAGGGAATTCTTTCGTCTGCGGCAGAGAAATTGAGCACGGACGGGAAGAATGTTGTAATATTTTCTCTGGAAAGAGGTGGGGGAGGGGGGGCGAGCAAGTATCCGCAGAATACCGCATACACCGCAGGTCTTCGCTATAGACGTTTAATTTCCTGGGTGATTTGCTATCATGTTTTTATGAGTTTACAAATATGACCCAAACACCCGTCAACTCACTACTTCGAGGAAAGCCTTCAAAACAGTCTTATTTTGGAGGTTTTGTGGAACACAGAATATAAACCTTCTACTTTGGGAAGTCGATTGAGAATACTGAAACCGAAGGGTATTTACCACGCACAATTTATAGACACACGCGAATAATGCAGAATCAATCGAAAAAAGGCAAATAACGTCTCGGCCGATTAGTAAGGTGCCTTCTGTAAGGTTTACTTTCAGTTAGTAAACAATTTAAAAACGGGGAGGGAACGCCACGTCAGTTGGTTGCAAAAAAACTAACACGGTTCCAACATACGAGGAAGGGGAATTCCCTCGCCCACGACAGAAGAATTGTGAACATTTGTCAGGGAAGAGCATTGGCAGGAGGAACGTTTCAATATTTTCTTTGGAAAAAGGTGGAGGGCGTGGGAACGTATCCGCGGAAAACCCTGGCAATGCACTTTTTAAAGAGGTGACTCATCAGGGAAGGCTGTTTATTTGACCAAGATCATATACAACGCAGACCTTCGTTGCGGAAGCCTACTTTCTTGTGCGATTAGCTCTCATGTTTGGGTGAGTTTACAAATACGACCCAGAAGTCCGTGAACTCAATACCTCGAAGAAAGCTTTCAAAAACAGTCTTATTTTGAGAGTTTTGCAGAAGACAAAGTATAGAACCTATTATGCTGAAAAATTGACTGAAACACTGAAACTGAAGAGTGTTCATGGACATCATCGAAAACTCTGCAGACTTGACTGCCGTAGGCTGTCACACAATACTTTTAGGGAAGAAAAATCATTCTGATACCCACGCTGTGGCATGCTTATGACCACATCTGCTAATTATAGATCTCTTTTTAGTCAATGATCAGCCTCTCGACACGTGACCCGAGGAAAACATCCACTCCTACGATGTCCCCACCCAGAAAATCCCACGAAACCACCCTTGTCGGGTCAATCGCACTTCGAGCAATGCATGAACGATGACTTTCAAGCAAACTCCTGCATAACATTTTGACACAACTGACTAGACATCGCGCGACTGACTGACTACTTTACGTAAGCAACACACACTCTTGGAGGATGTCTAATCCGAGGGTTATGCGAAAGTGTTTTTAAAATAGTGTCATGTTTATGCTCCTTTGTTTACTCAGTTGTTTACGTGAACGTATATTCTGCGCCTCTAAAAAACAAAGTTTGCACGCAAATTGAGGCGAATATTTCCTTGACACGAAACTTCTCGTATCCGGTATCTCCACCTTCCCCAAAAAGGCTGTCATTTCTGGTCAACTCAGTATTACTTTCAGTAGTTCTTTCATTTTAGTAGTTATCAGAAGGTCGTTCATCGCTGAGTGTTCTGGTCGATGCACTTAGACTGTCAACGCATGTTCCATGTTTGGCCGCCCACAGACCTCCGTGAACTCGAATACAGAAGGGCGAATTAGAGGTAAAGTGGTAAGATTAACTTTCCCCCTGACGCGGGTGAGATGGGCATTTGGCTTTAAGGGACAAGGTGTAATGGGCGTGAAAAGAACATGATCGATCGTCTACCGCGATCACAGCATTACATTTTGACAATGAAACGGACGGACATGGGCGCGGGACAGTGGCTGACAAAGTTAAGCAGCCTGTCTACGCGTGCCACGCACACGACTTGGTCTCCACAAAGTGCACCAGGTTTTCATAAAAAGAAGGGGGTGCGGCTCGGACCCCATTCGAATGGGAAAGTCTTAAAGGACACATTACGACTGACTCTCAGCCTGCCGGTCAGTCATCCCATACACATACAGGACTGCCCACGCTGACTGAGTAACCCAGCCCTGACTATAAGCCCGTCGTGATAGATTCAAGCGTTGAGGTGCCGAGACAGAATACCTTACTTTGGTGGACGCTTTTAAACTCCCAGTGGGAAAAAGTTGGATGTCAACCCTTCGAAGAATTCACAAAGAGCTACTTCGTGTCTGCCTGGCAGGTATTAGTCAACCACTATACGGACGATCGGGACACTACGTTTTGCTCCCCGTGACAGATAACTGGAGGATTTACAGAGAAAGCGTCTGAGTATTTGTTAGCAAATCTTTGTGGCACAGCTTCGACGAAGGCTGCCACCCCACGCCAACCACTGCACCCAATATCACTACAGGCTCGGACAGTCGGAAGCGGGAAGTGAATGAGGCAGACACTGGCAAGCCAGCCTCAGGACACATTACGCGCTTTGTGTCCGAGCCCACCTGCAGTTGTCTTGAAGTCGTCTTTTTGATTACAATGATAACACGCTACTACCGGTATTTTAGTAACACTTTACGTCGCATTAAAACGCGTCACCCCATTGGTCTGTAACTTCGACAATACGCCTTTGAGGAACAACCTGAAACCGAATAACGGCTATTCATTCGAAAGACAGTGACCTAAAATAAAATCCTTCCCGTCCTGAAGGCGCAACAAACCGATGAACGTCAGTCCTAAACGACAAAGGTCAGTCGGGCTCAATGGCTCCTTGTTAAAGTGGCCTCTAAGACATTCTCACGCATGCGAGATTTGAGCCGCCCGCTGTGAAAACCCGGCATATTGCGCAAGGACCAGGTCACGTGTGGTACGCATAGGTGGCCTGTTTAGCTTTGTCCTCCACTGTGCCAGCGTCCACATCTGGTCGTCTTGAAATTGTCTTGTCACTTGAGTCGAGTGGGCGGGCGAGGAGTCGTGGCTGACAGTTCAGAGGGACAAGCATACACCTACCGATCCGTCGGATTAATATGCATTCCCTGCTAGATGATGAGGGACTCTCTAGAGCACGATCTTCATAAAAACTAACTCTGCCTCACAAATATTTCAACTGAAATGGAAATTTGATTCAGGCAAAGTCTGACTACGCCCCACATCAGCGTTTAGGCCCGAAAGAGTTGGGGAGAGGCCTCTGTGTAAAGAGTGGCGTTTCATCAAGCATCAGTCCTTGAATGGTTTACACTATGTGGAAATCACTTGGTAGATATGGTTAAGTCAGGAGTGGCGTGTTTGGTGGATGGGCTGAAGCTCAGAGGGAGCGCAAACGAGGACAAAAATGACGCAACCACTCAGTGAAGGGACAGGTAACATTGTTAGCAGAAACAGTGGTGCATGAAGTCCAACTCCTCAGAATGTGTGCCAGTGGAGTTGGATTCCGCGAAACGAAGAGCATCCCAGATACAGTCAACTTCGGGGAATTATTTAAATATTTTCGGGCGATTTGGGTATTCTTGTAGCACGGCTCGTACAGACGCACACGCGTGCAATGGATTAAATGGTGGTCATATGGGGTGCAGCCGCCAACTTCGGAAGGATATTGATATCCTTGAAGGTGTACAACGGCGTGCTACAAAGGCTGTTCATGGCCTCAAAAATTTTACGTAAGAGCAACGCCTGACGGCCTTGAACCCCTATCCCCTCCACTACAGGCAGGACAAAGGTGACCTCATATCAACGTTCCAGTTGCTAAGAGAACTTAATCTGGATGTCGACTGGGAAACGTTTTTTGAAATGGCATCCAAGTCTAATCTCAGACGACATGGTTACCAGCTTAAAAGGGAACTGTGCCACACAAATCAACGTTCCTCATTTTTCTTACAGAGGGTCACCCGCCAATGGAACTCTTTGCCGGAGTATGTTATTAATTCCCCTACCGTGAGTTTGTTCAAGAGACAACTGGATACTCACCTGCTGAAACGCAACTTGAACTGCCGAAGCTTGATTCGACGGATTACTGAAATGGCTATAAATGTACTACTAACACGATTTCAACAGATCCTTTTTCGAAAAGTCAATTTGGCAAACACGTGTTTTCGGTAACTCCTTATCAGGCCAAAACGGTAACATAGAAGTTTAAATTATGCGAAGCTACAGGGCTTATAAGTGATTCAGGGACTATTAACATCCGTTTTTGTGCGTCAAACTTGACCCATGTGGAAATTTTCACAATCCGAATGCGGTGAACAAAGTTTTTCGCAATTATTTCGCGAATACCACACCCCTTTGGCATTTATGTTCCATTATTAGATTTATGAATCCTCATTACCTAAACTGCAAGAAAAATTTTTATAACTTAACTATTTTCCCTTACATCTGTACCGTCTAAATGGAGTTTTCAGGGCTTCTGTCATTTGCTCCAAATATAGTGACTGAACTTGGGAGTCAAGATATTGGGATACTTCGGTCGACCCCAGCTGGAGTACGTACTTCAAGCTCGGAGGGACTCACGCTTAAAGTGGCAGATGCAAACTCCAAAATGGAGTCCAGAGGTGTGTTGCCAAAATGGTGCCTAAACAGATGTTTCACGAATATCCACAATAGGCGTTTGTTTTAAATCTGCTTCCTTTCAGTTTTTAACAAATCAGAGGTCACCATTATTTTAATAACACAGTGGGCGAAAGTTTTATACTGCGACGTTGACTTCTTCTCCTGACATCGAGGTCTGGTTTTCGTGGACATTAGTAGGAGCTCAAAAACTGGACCGTCCGATAAACCAACGCCCAGTGCTCTTCTGGAAGCGAGTTGTGCGAAATTGAGAAACTGTCTATGCTGCTGTGATTGATGTCGATGCTCTCGGCACCTTAAACCGACGACTTAACAACCACCGATTTAAAAGTGTAGCTCAGATGCGAGCAGCGACGCGTGCTACGAAGATAAGGGTGCGTCATCTTCTAAATGGCACGGCGATTAGAATAATAAAAGCACCCTACTTTCTGTATTTTAGTAGCACTTAATATCCTGTGAAGAACGCGACGCCCCATTAATGTTATTTCGAAGTTGCGCCTTTAAGGAACAGCCGAAAACCTTTGACGAGGTCATTAAGAAAAACTGTTCCTCATATCCGTTCTAAAATTGCGACAGATCGGTGAACGCCACTCCCGAGTGACAACGGTCCACCTCTAGAGCGCATGAGACACCTTGCGGACCTCGTCAGAACAATGGGAAACTAGGCCCTGTTTGCCACCCATAAGCGCTTTTCACAACTGTTGGGCATATGGAACACCTGGGGAGTTAGTGGCTCGACTCTGTCCTACAACAGTCTTCGGATCGTGTGAGTTCCCTCTTTCGTCTGTCATAATAAATATACTAATTACTGAAAAAAAACGTTATAAAACCCAGACAAAAGTACAATTGTAGGAGTGTAAAGGCATCAATCTCGATGACTTACCGTGCGGGGAAAGCGTGACGGCGGGCATTGAGTGAAGTGAGGGGTCAGCGAGGTACTTGAAGTCCACGGGAATGTCCCATTCCCAGACACGAAGGGACTTGTCATCCGAGGTGGACACGAAGCGTCGGTTGTTATCCACGAAGGTGACCGTGTTCACAGCACCCAGATGACGATCGTACTGTTGGACAACCTCTCCACTGCGAATGTCATACTAGGGGGATGCAAAGTGGGATGAATAAAGGACAAGCGTGTTACGTGGTCTAAAGGCCACGCATGCAAGAGGGTTAGACACTACCTCAAGTGGTCTAATAACACGACGTAAGATAGTTTGACCGTCAAGAGCGACGACGTCCAGGGCTAACACACGAGATGGGTCCAGAAGCGGTGACTTGCGCAGCGTCTACCTCACACTCTCCTCATTCATTGCAGCCTGACTAAGTCCTGAAGATGACTGAATTATCCCGTCAGTCGGCAATCCTCCGTGCCACATACCTTGGCGCGTTGTGATAACTTGAAAGAGCGTCGGACTTGTTATCGTGAGGAATGCACCGATGTGCCGTGGGGATGGATTCCTCCCCAGTATCGGTCTCATTCGCTCATCCCTCTCCGACGCACACACCGGTAGCTACTTCGCGTCAAGCCGACTGGGAATGAAACTGGGTGCAATTAACGAGACAGTCTTTATGACCGAGCACGAGTGTTGACGGATGCATACGACAAATCCAGCGACGACGAAGTGACCATCTCTGGCTTATTCGCTGTTATCAGTCGGTGGCAGCGCAACCCCAGCCTGTCAGATGTCAGATATATGAATTGTAGAGGGGTGCTCACCGATCCTTCTTACGGAAATCACTCGTTCCGTTGTGCCCTACGAGCTCTCTCTCTCGAGCCCAACCAGCGGCCGCACGACGGCGCATGATATATTAATCGAAGTTCCCTGGTCATCGAGAATTCGTAATTCAAACGGTTAATATCGGGAGTACTCAAAATCGCATAAGCAATGTAAAGGAGTTTGGTGAACGTCAATTTCCTGCAAGAAATAGGTACCTAGTGATACGTTAAACTACAACAAAGTGCCTGTGTTTGGGTAGAAAAGGTTGTTTGGTACGGTTGTTGAGTGCATTACGAAGGTCTAACAGACGCTGCTTTGTTAAGTACGAAGAAGGCCGTCATATTTCCAGAACGTGGACCTGTGGCGTAATCTGTGGTAATAGTTTTTGTCGGCTTTAGCTAAAGAGTGCTTTGGACTACAAGAGTCACGCAGGGGGTTGGCGAAAGTACAAATGATTTTCTAAAAAAATCTGTCCCTAAAACGGCTTTTTTTTGGAATTTTCAACCGACTTTACTCTACCGCAGATTGGAATGCTGCCAACTGACCGACTGGTGGACTGAGAGTCAGGCTGTAATGGATCCTTCTTAATGTGGCCTCCTGTGGCACTGCCATTCAGTGGAATCCGAGCCGGTGAGGTGGCAAGCCCAGGTGCGGGTTTCAGTCGTGCCAGCCATTTGCTCAGTCTCCCGCTTCTGGTCTTCTTGACTGCCATAAAATCAGGCTCAGGTGGAGGGGAGCAGGGGAGAGTGCGGTAGGTGCTACGCAAGTCTACCACCACTATGAAGTAATTCAGGCTCAAGTCACCGTTCCTGCTTCCACTCTGCTGTGGAGCACACGGTTGACACAGTCGGAGACGATGAGCGAACTGTTGACTGGCTCGAGGAATGAGAGTCTCTCTCAATGTGGCCTTTCAATCACGCAGGAGCCGGGCCGCTCTCATTAAAGCCTGGTCCATGTTGTGAGGACCGGGTGGTGAGTGGCACGCGTGGACGAGTGGTTTAGTGTTGTCAGTCACTGCGCCCTCCCCCGCCTCCCGTCATCTCGACTCTGTCCTGCCGTCGAGCCCAGGTGGGTGGGGGAGGTAAGAGTGAGGCAGGTGCTGTGCAAGTCCGGCATCACTATAAACTAATTAACGGGCAGGTCACCGTCCTGCGTCCGCCATGTTGAGGGGCGCACGTTAGTGTCACCGTAAGCAAAGGTCACGCTGTCAACTAGTTTGCATTCGACTGCTAAGGATAGGCATTCGCCAGGGGGGACATACTAACACTGCCTCCCATCCAGTTTGCCAAGCAAGGGGGTGACTATGAATGCAAACTATACTTTGCCGTCTGGGAGGTTGGAGAGGAAGTTGTGTCGCGACTTCAAAAAAGAGGCCCAATAAAAATAATCGTCCTTAGTGATGGTGGGAGGGGGAGGGGGAGGGGTGGGATGAGGCGGACTTACACAGAGGATCTTCTTGTCAGCACAACCGCACAGGAAGAGATGCTGTTTGTCCTCGTCTGGATTGAACTTCACGCAGTAGGCCACCTTCTTGAGGTTGAACTGACCGGCACACTTGCCCGTCTCCGTGTCCCACAGCTTGATGAAGCGGTCATAGGAGGCACTGAGGAACTGGGTGCCAGCCGTGTTGAAGGTTATGTCTCGCACGGCCTGTCGATGGCCCATATAGGTACGGATCAGACGTCGCTCATTGTAGAGCTCCCACAGCTAGGTGTAAGTGTGAGAGAGGGAGGAAAAAGCGGTGGAGGACTTGTTTGAAGACGGTGTGAAGCATTAAAAAAAGAAAATATGAGACGAATGTGGTCTCGCGTATACCAGTTGTTCCTGAAGGGAGGACGACACAAGTAAAAAGCGTCTGAGGATTCTAGTGAAGCGCGTCATTCTTTGGAGGTGGCAACTGTTACTCATTTGAGCGATGCTTAGTCCTGTATAGCAGTGTATACACTTGTCAGACAAATCCAGTTAGTAGAAAATAGCATGGCGTCCAAGTAGGTCACACAGATTGGCAGTTTTGAGGGGATAGTAAAGCCCTCGGACTCGAAAATAACCGCAAATAAAAGCACATGCATTTCAGTTTTAGCTGCACTATTGGTGCGCTAGACTCCCTACCGTCAGATATGAGGTTGCTAAGCCTAGTTATAGCGCACAAAGAAGCTTGTAGACAAAAAGTGCCTCCGGCAACTGCTTTAGAAGAAGAATAGAAGGACGAGGAGGAAGAAGAAGAAGAGGAGGTGGAGGAAGAAGACGATGAGGAGGAAGAAAAAGGGGAGGAAAGGGAAGAAGAGGAAAGAGGGGAAGA